GTTACATACTGTTCAATACATTATGTGTTTTTAATTAGAAGTAATTTCATTTGTGCTTTATTGGAGGCATCCATGTTTGTCAAAGAACACTACTGCCACCTACTGGTTAGTGACGTCACGGTGCGGTATCGGCTGTTGATCAAGTCCCAGTGCTGTATCTGGTGTTTGTCACAACGCGCTATTATCCAAGTCATCTTGAAAACATTCTTCTTCCAAATGTTGGCTACATATTACGGGTTTTTTCTCTGGCCAGAAGTTCGATGGCAAATCCTCCCTCTTCAAGTTGGCGATCCAACGACCAACCCGTCCGTGGAGGATCAGGAATCAGAAAGGTGCCCGATGTATTCCAGCATCCAGCTGCCATGCACATGGGCATTGTCAGTTTCACTGTAGCTCTGGTGAATTTCAATGGTGAAGTCCTCTGGAAATCTTCAATAATTGTTGTTGATTGCAGATGTGTCTAGTAGTTCCCATTGATTTAGCTTGTAAAGCGGGGAGAATGGCGCTAGGCTTACCACACCGTGACGTCACTGCTGGAAGATGGCAGGAGGGAGGAGTTACTATATTTGGGCAAAAATGGCCGTTTTTTTACTGATTAACGCTAAAATGATTAAAGGAATAGTACACCCAAAACATGATTAGCCTTCATTTTCTACTCACCCCCATGCTGAACAACCCTCTGGAGTACTTTTTTGATATCTCAAATGCATCTGGAGATCTGGGAGGCTTCTTGCTGTCTGCTGACATTCAAATAATGGAGGTCTATGGTGCCCGAGGCAGAAAGGTCCATAAAAGTCCACAAAAAACGTGTCAATATTCCTCCATACTGCTCGTCCAATGTATTCCAAGTGTCCTGAGTGGGTAGCATCCTGATTTACTCGAAAAGAAGTCATCAAGTGGGAATGCTTATGCAATCCCACTTATTGTTGTTCACTTTAAATTTTTCTGACTCTAACTAGTCCCGCAGTTTTCAACCGATTTCAACAATTTTGGTATCAAAACGTTCAGCTTGTTCAGGAGAATTGTGCTATGTCTTTTGGTAAAGATATGTTTTGTAGTTTTCGCGATATTCTGCTTTTTCTGCGTTTTTTTTTGTCCCATTGAAATGCATGTAGAATTCTTAGATTTCAGCAAAATTCAGCTAAAACTTTATCATCTTCGACCTTTAACTACTTCAGCATACTTTCAGCTAGAAACACCATTCAACTTTTAAAATGTTTCCGTATCTTTCTGCTATTACTGTTTAACTCAGCTTTTTGCTAACTTTTACAGTTTTGCTTCAGTGAAGCTTCAAACTTTAGAAGAAAATTTTAAGATTTTCAAATTTATAATGGAAGTCTATGGACGGAATGTTCAGCTGCTAGAGTGTGCAACTCTAGCGTTTTCAAACATTTCACTCATGCCGAACAGCTTCAACTCACTCGCTCATTTTTTACCCTATCTAGATAAATTATACATCAAAACGTAGGGATTTTTGTCAGGATTCAGAAAATGTAACCCTCATTTGTGTGGCATTTACGGTTTTCCGACAGCTTGGCCCAGACCACGAAGAAGTCCACACTTCCCCAATAGAAAGCCAATGAGAGCTCTCTGAAAATCCGAACTGAAAATTCAAAAAAACAGACTTTTTCGTATCGCTCCCATTCGGGAACCATTCGACGTAGCAACATGAGCCTTGGGGAAGTTGTTCCTCAGACCTTCCTAGCACTCACATTGAAGGAAGTGTGTCGATATCTTTTATCGTTTAGCTAGGAACAAGGTTTGTTCGGGGGTAACAAATCTGTCCGAACCCCAAAATCAAGATTTTGACAATTATACACTTTTTTACATCGTCACCACGCCTAGACGAAATATTGTAGAAATATGAAAGTTACACCAGTTGTAGTCCAAAGATGGCTGACGCTCACGGTGAAAGAATTTTTTGAATACCTTTTACGGTTTTGGCTCACTGCTCGTTTGTTCGGAGGGAAAGTTTTGCTTTTGAGACTTCTGCTCTACCATTGAGTTGCCTGTTATTTAATGAGACCAGCAGGATTTCTCTAACCTTTATATTCCTCCTTCCCATTAAGGTTGTGAATGAGCTACAGCCATGAAAGTTACCCCAATTGGAGACAAAGGATAGCTGTCGCTTAGACTGAAAGACATTTTTGGATACCATTTACGGTTTGTCTTCAGCACTCGTTTGTTCGGAGCTGCTATTCCCATTCAAAAAAGCCTGAGAGGAAAGGAACGAAAGTGAAGCGCATGTCTCTCTGTCACTGACAGGCTCGTTAACGTCGTCAAGGTAACCGTGCTTCAAAGGATTTTACCTCCACCACTTTAAACAGCACATTTTAATCTAATGGAGGGAGACAACACTGATTTAACATTAGGAAGTGGATACAATATGACTACTGGCCATGACCCTTCCCTTCACACGCAACCCTAATAGACTTTCAAAATAAGACTCCAGGGACCCTTCAAAATAAAAGCCCCTAAATTAAACTCATATTTTTTTCCCAGCATACCGCTCAACATTATGACCCAAACTCAACCACTTTTTTAAAAATGAGACTCTAGGGGGTTTTCAAAACACACCCCATGGAAAATTTCAAAATAAAAGCCTCCCATTGCCACTTTATCTACTGCCCTAATAACAAGGGAAAAGAGTGATTTAACGATTGGAAAGTCATCAAGTATCACTGCTGGGTCTGACCCTTTTCTCAACACACAACCCTGCTAGACTTTCAAAATAAGACTCCAGTGACCCTATACAATAAAAGCCTCTATATTATACTCGCCTATTAATTGATGCAAATGGCTCAGCATTATGACCCAAACTCTACCAGCTTGTTTCTATTAGACTCTAGGGACCTTTTCAAAACATACCCCAGAGCAAATTTCACAATAAAAGTCTCCCATTTACGCTCTAATACAGCATCTATTCACCCAATAACATTGAAAACCAGTGATTTCATCTTTGGAAATGGATTCTATATCACTGCTGGGCATGACCCTTCCCTTGACACACATCCATGATAGACTTTCAAAATAAGACTAAAGGGAACCTACAAAATAAAAGCCTCTTCCTTACGCACACTCATTCATTGTGCCGTATGGCTTGTAGCTATGACCCAAAGTCAACCAATTTCTTCAAATTACACTACCAAGGCCTGTGGACCACACACCTCAGTGCATATTTCTTAATCAGGTTCTAAGATTTATACTGTAATAAAGCATCTGCTAACCTTGTAACATGCAGCCTAAGCCTGCCAACGGTGCTTTCATTACCACAGCGGCTCGTAACATGCAGGTTCAATTTTTTTTTATAAATTCAGCTCCTTAAGTGGTATTAGCTCTCTTTCTATAAGCTTCTCTCTCTGTCCTTCCTCTGCTTCTCATGGTCAGTCTTGCACATAGGTTTGTAGATTTTCAATCCTCTAAGGATGACACTGTTTTCTTTATGCTGATCAACCGACACATTTTAAATAATTTTCCAATGGTTTGCCAAGTCTTGACATTTCCACATATGATTTCAAAATGTTAAGACTTATTCAATACCATTGTCCTCAACATTTTACTTCCCATCCTTAAGCTACAAATTTTTTCTTCAACCAGATAAGATTAAAGTTTTTCTTTGTAATTTCTTTTCTACTTCAGCTAATTTCATACTTTTCAGCCTATGTTGTGAACTTTGGCTTCATTCTGCTCTGTTTCTGGACAGGAATTAAGCTTTTCTGTTTGCTGCTAATTCATAACACGCCTGACATGTTTCTGGAAAGTAGGTAAACCCCCCTTCAAAATTTCTTTATACATTTTTCTAGAAATTTGGGAGACATTATATTAAGACCCTTCTAGTGCCCACATTCAAGACATTTTTTGATATCATGTATGGTTTGGCTGTGCAGCTTTTAAGATGAGTTTGTTTCTGCCATTTTACTGCCAAATGATTCTACCCTACAAAATCTTCAGATGATTCAATTGTTTTCTGCAGTTTGAGGTTTCTGATGACTTCCTATCACATTTTCATATGTTCTTCAGGTAATTTCAGCGTTTTTCATTCAGCAAAAGCATTCCCACTTTGATGTTTCTCCGAAACAGCTTTTTCTAGTTTAGAATGTTTTTAGAGCATAAACAGTAGTGTATAGGATTTACTGAAAGCGCGTTCACGAGTCTACGGAAACCGCGGCAGACCAAACCAGACGAAAGTGCGCATTCAGTGTCTGCTCTGCCGATAATGCAAGCGTAGAAGAAGAAATGTGCTGTTTACCTGTGCAAAGAAAGAAACAACGAAAGAAAAATGTCTGAGGACTTCAGTGTTGAGGAAGAGCATGAGTTCTTTGCCGAGCTGAATGCGCACTTTCGTCTGGTTTGGTCTGCCGCGGTTTCCGTAGACTCGTGAACGCGCTTTTAGGAAATCCTATACACTACTGTTTTCTAAATGACTTCGTTTCGAGTAAATTATGGACGCTACCCACTCAGGACACTTGGAATACATTGGACGAGCAGTATGGAGGAATATTGACACGTTTTTTGTGGACTTTTATGGACCTTTCTGCCTCGGGCGCCATAGACCTCCATTATTTGAATGTCAGCAGACAGCAAGAAGCCTCCCAGATCTCCAGATGCATTTGAGATATCAAAAAAATACTCCAGAGTGTTGTTCAGCATGGGGGTGAGTAGAAAATGAAGGCTAATCATGTTTTGGGTGTACTATTCCTTTAAATCATGGTGACACGTATTAGTTTTAGGTATAGATAATGATCCATTGATCATTCCTTGCTGACTTGACTTCTCCTGCTGGCTTATAGAAACACTGAACAGAATCAGATTTGTGCATTGGAAACATTTTTAACTACATTTTTCCTGATGTTTTACAAATCATTAATTTCTATTGACCTGTTAAATAAAATCCTGAGTTTGTGGTCGTATTGCGACCGAACGAGAAGTCCAAAGTGTGTGAATACTTTTCCAAAGCCTCTTATTTCTTTCATTCCTCCCTGTTGTGTTCATCTCTGCAGTTGCCCTGGAAGTCCCAGGAAACGGCATAAAGAAAAGCCCAGTTTAAAGTCGGTTTCTCCACCTCTATGAAGGACCCTCTCAGAAACGCCGTCCCATGGACTCTCTGCTTCTTTTCCTCCAGCAGTCTGGCTGGAGATCCCTCTGTGCACAGCGAGTGTGACAGATAGAAAAGCACTCTCATGGATCTTAATTTGATCATTTGCTGAACACATGGAGAGAACAGAAACTCCATCTTCTTCATTTCTGAACCTAATGGTCCATTGTGCTGCTATTTGGAATGTAATCATAGAAAGAAACGAACCCCTTTACTGTAGTTGTGCATTGTTTTGTGTCAGACTAAAGTGGTAGTTAAACCCTTTTTTTTCTCCACTCTATGGAGAAAACATTTGAACTTGATGTTGCAGACCAACCAAGGCTGATGCCTCTTGGATGTTGTTGTCATTCTGTTTCCTGTTGCTACCCCCCCCCCCCCCCCCCCCCCCGCCCACTAAACCCCATTTTCCCTCTGGGCAATCTAGCAGCACATTCCCCCTTTCTCTTATCTGTCCCTCAACTCCTTGGTCATTTTGTCTCAAGCAATCACCCTCCCATGTTTCTATATGTCCCATCTCTCATCCCGTATCTCCTCCCACACCCTGCCCTTGTTTCTCCTGATGCCTCTTCCCCAGCTCTATACATGGTCTAATCACTCCACTGTCACCCCATTCAGATCTCTCTATCCGCCTGTCGGTTCCCTCGCTCTCCAGTTAGTGTGTGTGACAGAGTGCAGTGCCTCGGCATACTCCCACTGACAGCTGGCTGGAGCAGCAGAGGAGGAGGAGGTGAGGGGGGAGGATGAGGGGAGGAAACGAAAGGCAAAGAGATAGAACGTCACCCTCCTGGCACCCCAACCTCCCTCCCTCCTTACTCTCCAACCCCAGGCTGTCTCCAAGGAAGTGTCGGTGGTGCCGCTTTGATGCCGCCTACATCCTGCAGAGGTCTGATGCTGAGAGAATGCCTCCTGGCCTCGCTTTGCCTCGCCTCACTGGCAGGAACCGGGCCGCAACTTGTCATCTGCTTTAAAAAGCCTTGCAAATTGCTCAATCCCATTACCAAGCACTACAAAAGCAAATATTATTTCTTCTCCGGTTGGGGAAAAATATATATAAATTTCAAAAAGCTCTGCATCAATTTTCTCTGCCTCCTTCTTTCATCTTCAGTTTCCAATTACTTACTAGAGACTAAAGTAGTAGACCTGCATGAGTGGAAGTCTGTATAAATCCTAAATATTGTGCAAGAATATGAGACCTGTGTTCAAAGTAACAACCAGTGTTTCCAACTCCTCAGTAAGGAAAGTAGCTATTGGCTGTGCTATAAGTCGCCAGAAGTCGCTGAATGACGTCATTGCCTAATTTGCATAATCTTTTTTTTTTGTTTTTTCAACCTTTTTTTTTACTTTTTGATTTTTCCCCTGTGGTCCAATAAGGAGCTTAAAAAGCATGGTAAAACATGGATATTTTGAACTATACAATTTTTTACATTACATTAACATTCTAAATAAAAAAATAAAAAGAATCAATGACAATGTGAGCAAATAATGGTAATTAATATTATTATTATTAAACTAATAAGATTTCCCTCCCCACACACAGGCTGTGCTTGCCTGCTCATATTGTCGTGTTGGTCACGCTTCTCTACGGCAGGTAACTGAGGGAGCTGACTCCAACGTTATCAACCTGCGCCGTCAATCCCGGCGCATGCACGCTGTTCATTTGCAGTCTGGACGCTGAGGGTAACATGTTGTGGCTCTGATTGCAGCGCTGAGAGGGAATCCTGCGGAAACGGGAGAACGGGGTTGGGACAGGGGAGGCGCCTGATGTCAGAAACCAGAAAAGTTGCTAGATTTGTCGCTAGTCACTTTTTTGAAAAAGAGTCACTGGATGGGTCTGAAAAGTCGCTAAATATAGCGACAAAGTCGCTGAGTTGGCAACAATGGTAACAGATTATCATTACTAACCACATAAACAACGGCTTTTAGTAAAAATATATCTAAGAATCATATAATTTACTAATTATTTTACCATAGACCCAAGATACCCCTATTTTAGGACAAAGGTACATTAGTAGCCCTTCAAAATCACCCCACTTTCCTCGATGGGCCCTTGGCTGGTCTTTGGCTGGTCCCCTACATTTCCTTTTTAAACCTCAATATTTGGACTAAAATATTATTTCTGTCTTGATTTGTGGACATTAAGATCTAAAGAGAAGGATTATCACCTGGTCAGACCCTGTAATTCAGTGAAAGGGTGGAGTCAGAGTAAAAAAAATATGCAAGAGGGCTGGAAGTTGGAAGGGTTTTCACTGCAGGGAAGTGGGCTGCCATTTGACTGGGAATGACCCATTAGAATGGCTGCTACTGTATGCAAAATGATGCATAAGCTTAATAACAAAGTGACTGGCACAGCTTACAAACAGAATACTTTGAATTAAATGCTACTTTCCTACTGATTTAGTTTCCTTCTTATACCCTGATAATTAGAAGGAGAATAATGTGAAAACAAAATATTGCCAATTATGACTTCTTTCCCAAAAGAAACAAATGGTCAGGCTAATGGAAGATAGGAGCAACATCTGGGGACTGACAAAAAATTAAATTCTTCTTTTTGAGTCCAGGAGGCCGCAGGCTGTCAGAGCGGCATCGTCCCATTTTATTAATATATGGAATGCTTCTCTAAAATGTGCATTCAACAACAATGTCCACAAATTCCCAAATAAACATGCAGCGTCTGGATATTAGACCAAAAAGAGGAATATACTGGTTAAGATTCTCAGTCACCCGGGTCATATTCATTCCAAAAAAAGTAATAAAAAAAAACTATCCACTGGACTTTGTCTCCATGTTTGAAGACATTTAGCTTTTCATCCAGGAAGCTTTTTTCAATTCAAAATTTCCGGAATAGAGTTTTAGTTCGAGGCTGTATAGAGTGAACCAAAAACAAAGCCTTGTTTTGGCTTACAAAACATGCAAATAGGTCCACCCCTTTGGAATAGGGGTCATTTGAGTTCTTTGTTAGCCTGTAATACCCATACCTGTCTATGTCTCTGAAAGGAGGGTCGTTAGAGGGAATTGTTGGCCTGGCTAGCAGGCAAGGTCTTCTGTTCCCCTGTAAAGGGGTTGGGGTTGCGTTTATAGTGTGAAGGGATCAACTCTATCGCTGCTTTGTAGGTTTTTTAAAAGCTGAAATCTGAGCACCCCCCCACTCCCCTCTGGTTAAGGTTGGTTTTTCTTTCTTAACATAGGTGACTTTCTTCACGCCGCTCTCAATCCACCTGTCTTCTTTGTCCAAAATGTGAACATTCTGCTCCTCCAAAGAATGTCCTTTTTAACGCAGATGTGAAGCATTTTGTAGAAAAATTATTACCAGAAGTGTCAAAAGTCTTTATAAGTAAAAGAACAAATAACTGTAAAACGACTGCTAAAGGTAGAAGTAACAGTTGAACTCCTTTACTTAAGTAAAAGTAATAAAGTAAAACTTCTACACTGCACTGAAATCAAAATTAAAATACATTTGTTGCCCTATAGACACACTATGTAATTTTCAAGTGGCTTCCCCTATGTGACCTTTAGAAGCTATCGCTGTTGTAAACACTGTTGTATTATCATTATTAATATTATCATTATTATTATTATTATTATTTATTATCATAAAAACACTGCCTGCCCTCAGTGAGATGGGTAGCCTTCAAATACAGTACTGTCACAGATATATGGTACAAATAAATGGTACCTACTACACCAATGACAACACTGCCAGGTCAGGATTAGTTTTCATTTCATTTTAGGTTTTTATCCTTGTTTTTGTCTGAGGTATCTTATGGAGCAAACACTTTGCCCGAGATACTCTTCTGCAGGCCCAGTCCAATCCAATTCTCATTTTCCTTTCCTTTCCTCTTTTCACAAAGTTTTCTCTGCCTTTTTTTTACACCTCCTTCATGTCTTAAACCTCAAAAATTGAATTTAAAACTATAAAACCTGTGGTAAGCTCAGCTTGAGGCATGTGGTCACTATAGAAAATGGGATGCGTTTGTTCCTTTTACCATGAGAACCAGAATACAGCCGCAAGACTGAGACCAGGACGCTGGGTTTTTCTGACCCAAGCCAGTAGGGGGAGGTGACAGACCACTCAATCATCTCATAAACACTTTGATGACATCACAGGGACTTAGAGGAGTTAGAAAAGTTACGTAGTGCTGCTTTAAATTATATAAAATAAAGTTTAAGAACTCTTAAAAAACAATTCTATGCACAGAAAAATAGGTTATATTTACTCTTTTGATCACTGTGTGTGAACATTAAAATATACTGATGTAGGTTTGTTCTAAAGTGAAATACCAGACCGGTTAATGTAGTTTGAAATATATAGAAGTTTCTGCAGAGGAGGCTGAACATTTTTTAATTTAGGTTATTCACAGCATTAAGTAAGAGTTAATCAGGAATGTCTTGCTCTCAGAATTTTCTGCAAAATTTTCTATCCTCCCCTCTTCATCCACATCTTTCTAAAAACTAACTGGGCTCCTATTGGACAGATTCTCTTTCCTCCTTTTATTGCTAGTATACAGTTATGTTAGATCTTTAAATAATATGTATAAAAGTAAAATCAGTTTTGAGAAAGTAAGGGGTGTAAATGTAAAAATTTGGTCAGATAAAAAAAACCTCCAAAAACAAATATAGATACCAAAATACAATAACTAACTTTGGTGGTTGCAGACATAAATGTGACATTGACACAAAGGAAACAGTTTTTATACTAAACAATTGAGTTTGTAAAGATCTATGCAGATTCTGTGATGTTTTTAGCATCATTTTTTACTCACTTCCTATCATGCCATCTCATACAGTTTTTGTTCTTCATTTTCTCCGGATGTCTAGTTTTCCTAACTCATATGTGTGAACTTATGTAAAAAAAAAAAAGACTTTTAAACTTAACACATTTTATTGACTGTTACTTTAAACCTCGATATGCAAGTTCTTCTTCTCCCTTTGGTCTCTACTGCCCTCTATAGTTTAGTATGTGCATAGCTTATATACGTGAGGAAAATCACTTAATCTAATTTGATCTTCTTAAATTATAAAAATCAAATAGACTCAGAGATGTTTGTGTAACATATAAACCTGGATATAATCTGTCTGCTGCTGAGCGCAGCTTCCTGAGTCTACATTTAGACTCTGTGTCCAGATTGTACAAACAGGAAGGATTTTCAGCACAAATGTACTTCATTTTTTTTCTCTAATCCCACAGCAGTCTGCGGTAAACTCATGCTAAAATTAGACTAATCCCTTTGTTATGGGTAGGTTGTTTTTTATCCTTTGGAAGAAAGAAATTAAAAGGTTTTTATTAAAAGGCTGAGGAGATCAAGACTGTCATGAATATATTGATGAAATATACTTTATATGGATTGAAGTTTACTCCTAAATTATTA